GCTCCCAAGTGGCTCCTGCCAGCCCAGGAGACCTGAGGCTCCTGGGAGGTGTGCGGGTCTGCTCCCCACCCCAGTAGCACTCTGGTCCCAGTCCCCTGGGGGTGGGGGCTCAGGTGGGCAAGAGACCAGAAATCCCTTTGTTGGAAGCCCCACCTTGGGTGGCCCCTCCATGGGTGGCCCCTAAGGCCCAGGAGTCTACCCCATCCCGAGAGGCCAGTGTGATAACATCACATGCCTCTGGCAACAGAGGGGCTGGGGGTGAAGCCAGGGGGCCAAGGCCAACCTCTGGGCCTCTAGAAGGGGTCAGGAAATAGGGTACCTTTGGCCTCTGCTTCCAGGGATGGGGTCCCAGCCTCACGCTGCTCGCTGGAGTCCACAGACACGCTCCGCTCCCTCTTCACCTTGCCTTTGAGAGAGCTGAAAGGGGGCACCCCTGCCTGGGGGGTCTTCAGGCTTGAGTTGCTTGGTGAGATCTGGTTGGCCTTGGCCCCAGGGTTCCCCGCCCCCACACCCTTGGTGCCCAGGTTGCAGCTTGGGCCTTGGTTCACATTCTGGGGCTGGGATGGGGCCCCGCCATTCCCTGTCTTGCCATGATTGGTCAATTTGTTTTCTGGGTGCATTGGCTTGGCTGGGGCAGGGGGGCAGTGGCCGCAGGGGGACAGCGGCGGGCTCCCTGGAGCTTCTCTCCTCCTGGGGTGGGGTAACCTGGGGGAAGGGAGAGATGTGAAAAAGGTTAATCTTGCCAGGCAGGTATTCCTGGTTTCAACTGTCCCATCCTGCCTCACCTAATGGTGGAGAATGACCACTGGCTACTCCCTGCCTCCTGCCATAGCCCCTCAGACAGAGAATAGATGGGACCATCTGTGCACGGGGCTGCCTGTGCCTGCACACACACATATACACATGCTCGTGCAGAACACACAATGTGAATGGACACCAGGGCCTTGACCTCTCCCGGACACACCCCTCCACCCACCTGATGTCCATCAGACATCCCTAGTAGAACCACCTTTCCACTAACACCTGACCATCCTCTGCTCTAGGGTTTGCTGTCTCCAAATTCCTAAGATCCCCAAGCTAACCTACACCTCAGTGCGCTCCCCTGAGTCCCCACACCAGCAGGGGCCCCAGCCCCATTCTCCGAAGGAAGTGGGGTGGGGGGCGACTCTTGTCAGAGTGGTACCCACTCTTCCAGGCAGTTCCCTGCCGGAGGGGCAAGCCAGGCCAGGCGGCAGCAGGCAGGCAGGCTGGGAGGCGCAGGGGGAGGGGGAGGGGAGTGGCGAGCCGAGCGCACCGGAGTGCATCTTGACGCCAAGGATTCCTGCAGCCTTGGCTGCGGGCCCTTTAAACTCCAGCCCGCTCCCCCAGCCGCCTCCCCTTCCCCGGAGACCTATTAATAGCCGCTGGAAAGATCACATCACGGGAGAGGATATTTATCCCCCCTCATTCCACACCAGCTCAGATTTATTTCAGCTCTGCTGTCCGGCTGCTGCCGCCGACGCCTGGCCCTGTCTGCCGGCTTCTCCTAGAAAGGGGGAGGGAGGCAGCCCCTGTCCCTGACTCCAGCTCCCACCCCACCCCACTGGCTAAGCTAAGGCCAGAGGGGGCCTCTAGACCCCAAAGTGGGGTGGGGTGGGGTGGGCTGGAGTCCTCTGAAACCCTTTTAAGGAAGGAGGGCCTGGCAGGGACTCGAGGCAGACACTCACAGAGAGGGTAGCCTCCTCTGCCTCTGGGCGCTGGAGATGGGGGTGGGCCCCTGCCTTGGGGCCTCCCCATTCTGACATCTGAGTGCCCCCCACCCCCACCCCGTGCCCTGGGAGCCAGGCTGGGGCTCCACCACCAGCCAGTCCTTCCTTTACCCACACTCCGCGCACACTGCCCGCCCTCCAGGGCACCCACCTCCAGGGCACCCACACACCTTGTCTTGTTAGCCAGGATCCTCATGGCCCCGCACAGTGGGGCTACGGCCCCGTGTGCGCCCAGGGCCCAGCCAGGGACGCGTAGTACTGGAGCGCGGACTGCAGCAACAAGCCCCGGAGAGAAAACGTGTAACTTGGGGTTGGGGGTACGCAGGGGCAGGGAGGAGTGAGGACACGAAGGCCCTGGGACTGGGGCTGAAGCTGGGTGGGACTGGACAGGGCGATCTACTCTAAGGTTCAACCCAAGAGACTGGTCCTCCCCCACCTTACCCTCAGGGGGCTTGCAGTTTCCAGCAATTTCCCCAAACCGCGCGGGCAGAATTCACTAGGAGCTTAGGTGGGAAAGGTGCCCTCCCGCCCCCGTGGGGCGGACCTCCGGTCCGCTTTGGCCCCAGGGGACTCGCGAGCGCGTAGACACGCCCCTCACTCAGGGTAGGGAACCCCTCAAGCCCCGCCCCACGCACGAGGGCGCCCAGCCCCGGGGCACCCCAGCCGTGGAGGGGGCTGGGGTGGGGACACCGCTCCGCCCCCAGCTCGGGGCCTAGCCCGTGCCCATCCCAGCAGGCCCGGGCGGGCAGCGAGAGGCCTGGCGGGGCCCCGGGGCTGCAGCTGGGCTCTGCTGGAGACCAGTAACGCTGGCTCGGATTCCTCCCCGACCGCAAGAATGCAGGAGCCTCCCCTCCCCCCGCCTGCACCCCCACCCCGCGCCCTCCGGCAGAGCGCCAGCCAGCCAGGGAGCCACCGAGCCAGGGAGCGGCGGGAGACTGACGGCCCGCAGGGAGCCTCTCGGGGCCGCGCGCCGCGCCCCAGTGCGCACAGCCCGGCAGACACGGGATCAAGTCCCCGGAGGGGCTCGAGCGGGGCTCGAATCCCACCCAGCTCCTCGCGAACCCTGACTCACACCCACTCCCGGCTCACACGTGGATCGGGAGACAAAGACACGCACGGAGCTCCGGAGCCCAGAGGCGCGGGGCCGCCGCACCCCGGCGTTCGGCGGAGGGTGAAGGAAGCAGTGGCCGAAGCAGAAGCACACAAACAGCCGGCGGTGCACGCGCAGACAGGACAGTTGCCACTGAGCAGAGGGATCGCTGGGCTCATTTGACAGAAAGACAGACTGAGGCTAGGCAACAGCCAGCCATAGAAAGTTGCACGTGGAAGAAACTCACACATGGGGCCATAGATACACCCACAAACACTGCCGCCTCACCCACAGGCCCCTGCTCGGCCCCCACCCCTAGCAGATCCCAGGGAGACGTGGGGGTGGGGAGGGAGTCAGGGTTGGGTGACCAGCAGCTCAGTCCTGGTCACAGGCACGTCCAGAGTGGACGAACACAGCGCTGCTCCCAGCAGAGCTGCGGGAGACTGAACTGGGAGCTCCCCAGGGAACCCCACAGTCCCTGAGTGGGGGGTCTAACCCTAACCTAGCCTTCCTGTTCTCCGGGGAGGAAGGGAGCATCTGGGCATGGTTTCAAAGTCCAGGGCTTGGCTGGGAAGCAGCCTGCCTTTCCCCTCACCCAGTGGAAGGGAAGGGGCAGCTGGGGCTAGGGGCTAGGGGCAGGCCTGTGGCCGACACGGGTCTCCAGCTCCACGTTTAAAGTAGTGTCTTTACATCCACCGTCTTGGGCAATCCTCAAAACTATCTCAGGGGCGTCAGCATCTCCACTTCCTCGGGGGAAACCATAAACTGTGTTGCCCGCCAGGGCTATGACCTGACCCTGTTCCCCCAACCAGTGCGCAGCACCCTCAGGACCCTCGGCCCAGAGCTTTCTTCCTACAGCACTCCTGGGAGCCTGCACTGGGACTGCTCTGCTGAGTTGCACCAGATAAGAGGGCCCACTGCCTAAGTGGGAGCAAGGGCCACCCACCACCTCCAATGTTTACAATCTCAGAAATTGGGGACCAGTAATCAAATAATTTGGGTAGGGGGTTAGAACACTAATTCTGCCCCTTTGGCCCCAGTCAACTCAGGGCCCCACCCCCTCACCCCTTCCCTGCCTCAGGGCAAGCTGAGTCAAGCCTGGATGAGTCAGGACTTAGCTGCTCGCCCCCACCCCTCCAGAAGCCGGCCCACTGAGACCCCTCCTCCTATGCACACTCCAGGGCCCAGAGGAGGTGGGAGGGAGGCTGGAGAGCTGATTCCTGGTGGGGCAGTTTGAAACCAGGGCCAAGCCAGGAGCCTCTGAGACAGGAAAGGAAAGGGGCTGACCATTCAAAACAGTACTGCCCGCCCTTTTTTGGGGGGGCTGGGGGACAGCAACACTCACATGCGCTCAAAACAGGGCGCAGGTGGGAGCCACCTGAGTGAATGACAGACCAGGAGCAGACCCAAGAGAACTGAGTCCTGGGAGTGAAGCTGAGACAAAGAGCTGGAGTGTAAAAGAGCCCTGGGTGTGAAAGTGGGGGTGAGGGTGGGGTCCCCCAGAGGATGCAAATAACTAAGGCACTGGGCTACTAGTAACAAGATGGACGGTTCAAATCCACCCAGAGGCACCTTGGAAGAACAGCCTGGCCACCAACCACCTGTGGAGCACAGTCTACTTGGACACAAGTGGGCTTGCCAGGTGCAGGAATAAGCCCCAGGGCAACCCACACTGGTGTGTCTGAGGGAGGGGGCAGCAGCCTAAGGGTTAAGGTGGGCCTGACCCAGCCCTGGATGGGAGGGAGACAGGGAAGGCTTCAGCGCCTAGTGGCTTAACAGCACCTAGCTGCCCCAGGTAGGGTGGGCGGTCCAACAGCTTTGTGCTGCCAGAGAAGCAGTGCAGAAAAGCTCTGAAAGGTGCCGGCTGCCACCTGTGGTGGGCAGACACCTCTAGAGGAGGAAGCCCGCTGCTAAGGGTCCCCGGTGGCATGGGGGGGGGGGGGACACCATGATGGCAGCAGTGGTCCCACATCCCTTGTCTCTTGGGTGTCGGGCCTCCTTGGTCCCTAAGAGTTTCTCTCTCGCTAACACCCAGGTCACTTCCTCTTCCTGAGGTGGGGACTCATCAGGAGGGAGGTCAGGGACCCATAGCCTGATGGGAAACCTGTGCAAGAACCAAAGGTATTGCGCTGGGACCCTCTGTGGGGACTTCCCGCGTTCAGGTTCCTACCAGCTCTCCCCAAAGGCACTATGCAAATCAGCCATTGGGGGCTGGGAGTTTCCAGCCCCCACCCCCACCCTGCAGTCTGAGGGTAACATCAGGCAGCAGGGAGGGCCATGGAAACTCCTGGCCCACACCTCTCCAGACTGAGCTCTGTGACCAGGGTGCTTCTGGAGGCTCTGCCCTCTGGAGCCTACCTCCCTGCGCTTGGCTCTCCTAGCTAGTAGCCACGGAGCCCAGCCTCCAGGAGAAGCAGTCTTGCCCTGGCAGTGGGGTGCCCCCAAAGGCTGCCGCCCAGGCCCTGGCTGCTCCTTCCCACCAGAGGAGGGAGGAGTAGTTGGGGGCACAAGGAAACAAGACAGGGCAGGAAGCCCAGGCCGGCAGCGGGCACTCTGGGCCAGGCACAAACAGCCAGCACAGGAAACCACGGCCTACCCCCGCCCACCCCACCCACCCAGAGCTCTGGGAGAGAGGAGTGCCAGGCCTGGTACCCCAGCAGAGACAAGGACCAAGGGCCAAGGGTCAGCCCAGGGCAAGGGAGGAGCAAGAAGCCCCGCAGTTCCCTCCCTGCCCCAGACCCCACCTGGGGAGGGGAGGGGAAGTAAGGCCGGCAGGGATGACGCTGCCGCTTTAAATCCACCGAAATCCGGAGCTAGGCCCAGCCCAGCTCTGATTTCACAGGAAGGAAAGGAGCTAGCATGCTCCCTAGCTTGCCGGGAGCCAGTAGGGCAGGCGGTAGTGGCTGGAATTAGCCCCACGGCCCAAATATATCTGGTCTCCACCCTGCCACCCCACTGGCACTTCCTGCCCCCAGCACCTGCAACGGGGGGAGGGCCCCGGGCGGGGGTGAGAGAGGGCCGTGGCGCTGCCCTGCCTGTGGGAGACCCCAGCCTCAGGAGGTGCCTTGTTGGGAACACGTGGGCAGAGGTGACTTCCCAAGCCTGGAGTTCCAGAAGGAGGCATGGACATGAGGAGCTCCCTGGGGGCTTCACCTGGCCTCTGGCCTCCAAGGGGTTAATCTGGCCCCTGTTTTGGGGGGCAAGGGTGACCAAGGAACCTCCTCCAAACTGCCTGGCTGCTGGGAACAATGGGGCCATTGTGGGAGGAGTGGAGTGTGGGCAGACTGCTGGCACAGCCAGTGCACAGTGGGGCGGGACCTCACCCCATGCCTGCCTGGCTGGGCTGGGCTGGGCTCTCCCCCAGGTACTGCCAGCGGCAGAGCCATCCTCCCAGCCCCTCCCTCGCCTGCCTGGCAACTGCAGCGCCTAGAGGGCCCTCACCCTGCCCACGTTGACATTCAGACTGCCCTCACCGTACAGGAAGCGGGGCATGTGGGCAGGGGGGAGGGTTGGGGGGGGGGCGAGGGGACCAGACAGGATGTATGCCTGTGACCCTCCTGCAGGGAAGAGGGCAGGAAGGCCAAATGGGGTTTCCGGTGTCAGTCCTGGCACCCTCCGGCAAGAAAGGCTTAGGGGACTGTGACAGCAGTGACAGGCAGGCAGGGTCGTGCCCCCAGCCTCCTTCCCATAATGCCTGCTCCTCTAGGGGATCCGGTGCCAGCAGCCTCACCCTCTGGGGACAGGAAGAGTAGTGGCGGGCAGGGTGGTGTGGTGGAATGCTAACAGGGTCTGCAGGCAGAGTGCCAACACAGCCTGCCCCTTCCGAGCAGTGGAAGCTCCTTCTAAGCCTCAGTTTCCCTATCGGCACAATGAAGAGTCATTGTAGCCATCAAGAAAATAGCTGAGAGAACGCCTGAGACATGTTCCAACCCTCAAAAAACCACTTCTGGCCCCGATGCTCCCCTCAGCACCTCCTGGTGTGGCACCCCAACACAGAGTATTTGGTAAAGGTCAGCGCTGCCCAAGTCAGCGGGCCCAAGGCTTCCTAGCAGTAGTACCAAATGAAAAGATTTGGCTTTCCCAACATGCCAGCAGGCTCTCCCCTAGGATGTCTAGGCTCACACTCTTGCCCACATGGCTCCCCCAGACTCTGGAGGCAAGGGAAGGGGACCCACACACCCCTGCCCTACCTGACCCCATTGGTAGCAGTCACTCTGCAGTCTTGGGACTGGCAGGAAGGGAAACTTGAGCCTACTGCTGACCATGGCTCTGGACAGGGCGGAGGAGGGTCTGAGCAGAAGGGTAAAGCACTGGAGCATGAAGTGCTGGAAAGTATGGGTCCAAGAAGACGGCCTGGTCTGCTCCCAACAAGAGAAGACTTATTCCTTTGGCTCCACAGCCCCCAAAGGGTTAACGGGGCCCTAAAAATAACCTGTTCCCAGCAGGACCCGCTGATCAGAACCCTCCAGCCATCTGTTCCCATTTTCTCCTGTACACATTGGAACATCTGAAACCAGCGCCAGAGCCCCAGCCCGGTCCCAAAAATAGCCCCTGCCTACCCGAGGAACAGGCCCGGGGCGGACACAGGCAGCCCGGCCAGCCCGGCACTGAGGCCAGCCCATGTGACTCTCGGGTGGACTGGAGACCTCAGAGTCCAGTCCTGCTGGCCCCAGGGGCTCTGGCCTTTCCCTCCTGGTGCCAAGCCAGACAGGGCATCTGCTAGACAAGCCCAGGGGCGTTCAGACACCCAGAACCCTCGTTTTCCACCTCGTAACCAACTCACTCCACACACTCAGGCAGTGACTCTCCACAAGGCCCCAACCACCTGCCTTATTATGGGCACCCATCACTGCGGGCTACTCTTGGGCTCCTCCCCCAGAAGTTCCCCAAACTCTATCATCTCTCCTACAACCTTACTCTCATCCGAGCTCTCACCTAGCCTTCACTCAGCGTGCTGCCCCCGGCACTCTGGGTAAGACCGGACTGTTCCCAGCCCTGCCCACACATACTCACTGCAGGCCAGGAAAGAGTTCTGGGATGTCCTCTGGACACCGTGAGTGCTGGATGACCCAGCCCCCTCCCTGTCCAGCTGTGACTACTAGGTACCAGAGTCCCCACCTGCCTTCTAAAGACACCACAGGCCTGGCCACTATCCCTCCTCACTCAGGGAAGGGGCCTGGGTGGGAGACATGGCATGCCAGGGACCCCAGGCCCTGAGGAAGGGTCTGACCCCTGGGCCAGCAGGGAGTATAGGTGGCCATGTAAGGACAGAATGTCTTGTTAAACCTAGTGAAGAAACAGAGCACCAGGGATGAGAGGTGGGAGGGGTGCTGAAGGCTGGGGTGAGCCAGCAGCCAGGGGAGGGGGGTCGGATATAAGGGAGGCAGGCCTGTGGCTGTTGGCAAACCTGCAACCAGATGTGAGTCAGCACCAACAGTGGGGACACCGAGGCAGCAAGCAGGTAGATCCAAAGGGTTATGAGACTGGACCATCTGGAGCCTTGGAAAGGCGGCCTCTTCCCAGACCACACACACACACACACACACACACACACACACACACCTCTCCTCCCGTCCCCGGCTGCTGCGTCCCCGGTGGAGAGCCATTGCTGGGACTAGCTGGGACTAATCCTGACGGCTTTACTCCGACAGGCCGGCAGGCTGAAGAGCTTCACATCATTGTTTGATTCACCCCTCGAGAACTGCACGTCCCCCACTTCACAGATAAGAACGCTGAGGCCCACTAACTGGCCTCGAACAAACAGGCCACGCTTAGGAGACCCAAGATTCGGACCTGGGCACGCAAACATTTGGGTTTTTAACCATTTCACAATGCCATGGGGTGCTTCCTCTGTGCTATGGGGTGGGGGGCCCCCGCTGGCCATGCTTGATTTGCTCATTCTACCCCTGCTCCCGCCTTGCTCGAGAAGGACCAGGCCCTGTGAGAAAGATCTAAGGACAAGCCGCCCCACCCTGTCAACACAGGTGCCTGGTGGGACCTCCCTGGGCAAAGTTCTTGGGCCTCCGCCAGCCCCACCCACCCATCCCAATCCGTTACCTCCTTGCCCATCCTGGTCCCCAAGGGAGTCAGGGGAGGGAGCAGATGGGTCACCATGACAACAGCACAGGGCCCCCTGCTGAGAGTTGCCAATAAGCTAGAGAGGTTTCTGATGTCCCGCCCACTCCCCCAGGTAGGGGGGTCAAAGGTCAAGTGGACTTCTCAGAGAGGGGTGGAGTCCAAGCCCTGCCCCCTGCCCAACCACACCTGTCACTGTCCCCACTTCCTTCATTGCCTGAGCTGGAAGTTGGGCCAATTGGTTCCTGTCCCTGAGGGGGAGCGGTGGATTAGTAAGCTCCATTAGAAGGCCCTCCCTCCTGAGGCCTGTCCAGGAGGAGGGCTCCTCCCAGTCCCCAGCCTTCCCTGTCAGACCAGGAGCCCACAAGAGTGTTTGTTATGAATTCAGGGAGTTGTTGCTAAGTAAGGAGGGAGGGAAGGGAGGAGGAGGAGGAGGGAGAGAGACTGTGAGCGCTTGTGTGGTGTGTGAGGGGCCAGGCAAACACCACAGTATGACCACTGGTAGGTGGCCACCCTGGCTTTGGCTCAGTTTGCGGCAAGTACTTGCGTGATCAGGAAACAGTGGCTAGTCCTCCTGGGGTGACCAGGTCAGAGCTTCCCAGGGCTGGCTGTCCCCATTGCTGTACCCTCCCTGCCCTCTCTCCCTAGGGGATGTAGGGCTACTTGCCCAGGTTGGGGGGTGGGGAGGGCGTGGGAGAAGGAAGTGGGGGTCGAGAGGCAAAGGCCCAAAAGACAAAAAGGCAAGCAAGAGGCTAAGCCAGGGCAAGGCAGCAGCAGCCGCCAGGAGGACACACAGCAGGGACCTCTCACCTCCGGGATCTGTGCTGCACGCCAGGCTCAGGCCCAAGGGTGTGGTCTGGGATGGGGGCTCCCTGTGGAGAAATGATCACAGCTACTAAAATCCCTCCACCCGCCTCCCCTGCCCCCAGCCGTCTCTGCCCGGTTTCCTCCCCTGACCCCAGCCCCACCCCCACCCCACAGACCACATAAACGTGTACACACGTATACACAGCCAACCTCTCCAGGAAGTCTCTCAGCTACTCTGACCACCACCACCCCCTCCACCCAAGACTTCTGTGGATTGGCTGGGAGCCAGGCCCGACCCAGCTGCCCCGCCGCAAGGCTCCCCTCCCTGTCCTGCAAGCCGGTCGGTCGGGAGACACTGCAGGCCTGCTGCCTTGGTTTGGAGCTTAGGCCCGCAGGAAGAAAGGGGGGTGGGGCGGGACAACTCAGGGCCTGGCCTGAGGACTTCGGGTGGGGGGTGGGGGCAATGGATGGGGATGGTGGAGGACCCCAGCTTCCATCCCCAGGGGAAAGGAGAGCGGTGTGTCCTATGCCCCAGCGTGGTCTTCCCGCCTGGCTACACCCCGTGTCCCTTGAAGATGCAGTTCTCCCTGGTCGTGGCCTGCTGGGGAGAGCCTAGGGTGAGAATAGGGCTTACCAATTAGGAAGGAGGGCGCTGGGTGCAGCTCCCACAGGCCGGCGGGAGGGAGGGAGGCTGGTGGCTGGGCTCAGTTTGTACTGGGGGTCAAAGGGGAGTTCTTTTCCGAAGCATTCTGGGAGAGAAGCCAACTAGAGCAAGCTGCTAACCACCCCTCCCTCTCACTGCACTGGGGTTGGGAGTTGGGGGGGGGGGTTCTCTGCCAACCAGACTTAACCCTCTCCAGCCTATCTGTTCTGCGCCTAGACCCAAGATGGGTGGTGGTGGAGAGGGCCTCCAGCTGGGCTCAAGGGCCAGTTCTGGGGAGTCAGCACAGGGCAGCTGCCAGGGCAAACAGGCTGGTTCCACACGGGCCAGCCAGGCCCCACCCAGCCCCACCCCCACCTGGGTGACTCCTCTGGCCTCATCTACCGAAGGTGTCTGCAGTGACGTGTGTGTGCGTGTCTCAGAGATAGAGATTGAGAAACAACTAAAAATTCCTGGCCCAGGTCCTCCCCATGCTGGGTCACCGAGCACTGTACAAGCGGCCTGTGGCGCCTTGACCCCTCCCTCCTCCTCTCTGGGTGCTGGGACCAGAGGCCATGGAATAGGAGGGTCAGGCACTTTTACCCCCAATGCCCACCTCCCAATGCAGGCACCATGAGCCCTGCCCTTATACAAACAGCCCGGACCCAAACCCTCCGCTTCCTCCCTCTGGATCGCCTCCCCAATTACAGCCTGAGATCCCAGGAGGAGAAACTGAGTCACTGTGAGCCAGCAGGGGGTCTGGGGCTCGCTCCCTTGCCCACAGACCTCTGCCATCAACGCCCTGGCTTTGGGGAAGAGAGGGAGGAGAGGGGAAAATGAAAAGCCCCCAATGCCAGCCTCTCCTCTCAGAACCCTGTCTGAACTGCAGCAGGAGCGGATGACATTTAACGAGAAGGATTGCTCAGGATCTGAGCAATACTCAGGGCTTCCGAGGTCGCTGGCCCCGCCCCAAACACTTCTCATTCCTCGAGTGGCCTCCACCCCTCAGGGGTCCAGGTCCAGCAACTCTGCCTTGGCTTGGGCTAGAGGGCCTTGCCTTGCTTTTCTGCTGGTCCTTTGATGAAGCAGTCCACTTCTGTAACCCTTGAACTTGCCCCTGCACTGCCAGGTCTGACGCTGTGTCCACCAGTCAAGCAAGTGACCCCAGGAGGGGAGGGGGGTGTTTAACTCTTCCCCCGGGACTTTCCTTCAGATCACAGGTTCTCAAACTTATCCAGCTCACAGCCCCCTTTCCAGAAGGGAATTAAAAAGCACTCGGCGCCCCGGGCAATGAAAGCCATGGGTCCCCTAGCCCATAACCCAGGAACAAGTCTAGGTACCTGCTTTTGCAGGCCCCCTGCGTCGTTCCAGCGCCACCCCCAAAGAGGGGGTATCGCCCACTTTGGGGAACACTGCTTTAACGCATGGGAACCCACCCCCTATAACTGCCATCCACATATCAACACGAGAGAGTGGGCTGGTGTGGGGTCGCCCTCGGGTCCAGAGGCTGGCCGTGAGGGGCAAGTGAGAGCCCAGCCCTGAGAGCCTTTTCCCAAAAGTGTCCCCTCTTCACCACTCTCCAAGGACCAGGGAACTGCTGGCGCTGGCCCCACTCCAGGAAGCCTCTCCATCAAAGGGCAGAGGACTCCATGTCCCAGGGAAATGAGGGGGACCTGTGACTACACACCCCGACATGTTCAGAGAGGAGGAGAAGGGGGGAACAGCAGCCATAAGTGTGTGTGCCCTGCACACACAGACTCACACATCCAAGGGACACGCCCCCAGGCACACATGCTTCTCAGAGCCCCCTACCCCCCCCCCCAAAGAGGGCACCTGAGAGACAGAGAGAACTCCCAAAGACACACAGACATTCAAACAACATTCTCCAAGGACCCGCAGAAGCTCCCAGATTCACAGTGACAGCCCAGGAGCACTGAGGAAGCACACCCGACATCCGGTCAGCCACACAGAACTGCTGACAGAAGACACACCACCACACTGGGATACGGACACACACACCCGCGCAGCCAGGTGCTAGCTGGAACACAGCCTCGCAGCCCTAGCCCCGCGATGCCCAGCATGAAGTGGGATGAGCGGACAGGACGGCGCAGGCAGCCCCTGTGGGGGAGGGGGCAGGGGGAGAAGGGCTCCTGGATTTCAAAACAATCCTGGTTTCGAAATGCCGGAGAGGCTGGATTCAGGGCCATTCCAGTGGAGGGTGGGGGTGAAGAGGGAGGGGTGTGGTGAGAGCGCAGCTCCGGGAGGAGTCAAGGGCTGGGGCAGTGGGAGTCCCAATCCTCCCTCCTCCCTCAGGCAGGAGGGCCAAGGTGAGGAGGGCCGCAGGCCCAATGGCAGCTAGGGAGCGCTGGGACAGTGGGAGGACGGACGGACGGACGGACAAAGGAGGCTTTAGCACTGACACACGCAAAGTGAGTAGGCAAGGGAAGTCTTCCTCCAGCCTGCCTGTGGCCCCTGTCCTCAGCTCTCTCTGGACAGTGCACCGCCCTCTCCCGGCAGAGTGGCCCCCTGGCTCACCATCCCCTTCCCCTCCCCCCAGCTGGCAGATCTGCAGGCAAGCCACCCGGGAAGGGGTCAGAGGGAGGGGGGACAACAGCAGGGGTCAGGGTCTTCCATGAAACCCAGCAGTGTCCACACACAGGGCATGATGAGGGGAAATACCATGGGGGAGACCGAGGCAGTATAGCATGCTCCACACCCAGGAAGTCACCCCTCCCTTGGCAGCCAGAATGCCCTTACTGCCCCTCCCCCAACCTCCAGGGAAAGTTGGCAGGGCTCTCTGAAGGAGGGGAGGTCAGGCCAGGCTGGGGGTGGGGCTCTGGAGGCCAGGCCAGGCCTGGCACCCGGGCAGAGGAAATTCCAGGCTGGATGTAACTCCAGGCTGCCTCCAAGGTTGCCCATTGGAGTGACAGGCGCCCTCCTCCAGGCCCTCAGCATCTAGCCCCCTACCTGGCCCAGGTGGCTAGAGGGTGGGGGACAGGTGGGACTCTAGCCCCTTCAGGATGGTCTCCAGCCCTGGCAGGAGCCTTCAATGCCTGTCCCCAGCCCCCGCCTCCCATTCCATCAAGGCCACTCGGCACCTCCTGTCCCCAGGCCCCTGGGGGGAGTCCCTGCAGTGCAGCTAGGGGGGGACAGCTGTCAGGGCTGGCAGGCAGGGCTCAGATGCCAAGCTGGAGCAGCCAGGCACCAACAGGTTGGGCCAGTCCCTGGAGCAGCCAGCCCCACCCCAACGAAGGTGGGCCTGGCAGAGGCTCCCTGCCTGCGGCACCCAGCCTCTACCCGCTTGGCTCCCACGGCTGCCCGCTTTCCCACGGTGCCACCCCCTGCGGCCCCCTCCCTCTGGGTCAGTACCTGGGCAGTGTCCAGAGCTCCTGACCCAGGAAAGGAAAAATGCCAATTCCCTGTCACTCCTGGGTGCCTGGGTACCTTGCCACCCACCACCAGGGAACTCCAGGTGAGGAGGGGAAGGGTCCTGAGAACTGCCAAGTGCCCGCCACTTCCTTGCAGGTGTCCTTTCAACCCTGGGCAGACTGTGCACTCAGCACTCAGCTCCTGGGAGCTGCCCTGGGGCGCTGCTACAGGACTCCAGCCTGCAGCAGCACAGGCAATATGTGTGTGGTGGAGGGGGGGGGGGGGCGCCCTAGCTCCTCCTCCAGATTCCCTGGAGAACAGGCTGCTGAGCTGGGTGCCGACTGCAGCCTGTGACCCTGGCCTTCCCTCCCACCCGCTCCCAGAGCTCCAACCAGCCACCACCAGCCTCCAGCAGACATCCCCCCTCTGCACAGCACGCCCTTTAATCTAAAGCAGGTGCCAAGCATTCCAGCCCTTGCTGAGTTGACACTCCTACCCGCTAGGCTTCTGCCCAGAATCTACTGCCTTGCCCAGTCAAGGAAGTTGAGCCCCCAGCCCAGGGGGCGTAACCTAGGGATCAAGAGGTGAGAGGTAGGAACTAGCCAAACAGAGTCAGGGATGCCCAAGGAAGCATGACCACTAGGTGCCAAGTCACTAGCACTGTGCCAGCCCCTGATTTCCAGGGACCACTGACCTCTCTCCAATCTCCTCCCCCACTCCTCACCTGGTTCCCATAATCAGCCTCAGTGTCTAAGCATGGGGCCGCAACAGACCCAGTACAGGAGCAGTTCTGGATCCCAAAACATAGATGTCTCACTTGTCACCAGCACTCTTCCTAAGGTTAACCCCTGCCCCACCCCCACTAAGGCAACACAGGTAAGCAGAAGAGAACCCCAGGGGGAGGTGGGCAGAGGGCGGGCCCTCCAGGCTGGGTCCTCCCAAGGCCCAGGAGCAGATCACCTGGGGAGACTGAGCTTCCCCGCTGGCACCAGACTCTGTTTCCCTCCCTGCTCTCCATCTTCCTCACCCACACACACCCCACCCTGAGGCTCCATTCAGTCTCTCAGCCCTCGCCACCCCTGGCAGGGACCTCAGAGCTGACACCAGGAAGAGAGGCCCAGAGTATACTCTTCCCCCCAGGGCCATGAAATCAGGGTCGAGCCAGACCAGGCAGCTAAGCCTGTGCTGCTGGAGGGACCCAGGAGGGTGGGCAGCAGCCTCTTCCTTGAATAAGTGCCTGCCCCCTGGAGAGTCTGAAAAGAGGGGGAGACTATGGCGGGCATGGAGGTCTCATTTGGAGGCATCAGTGGGGTCATGGCAGATACAGTGCAGAGCCAAGCTTCCCTAGTCACCCATGGAGGGGGCCAGCTGGAGGGGGGCTGGTGGCATGCCTCAGCTCACCTCTCTCCCACAGCGATTGTGGAAGCCCCTTCCCACCACCACTACCATCACCCTAGCCACCACCGACAGACAGACAGACAGACACACACACACACACACACACACACACACACACACACCTCAAGCAGCAGACAGACAGACAGGAGGAGGGGGTACCAGAAAAACCCGGAAGGAAGGAAGCTGGACAGACAGACAGAAGCTGATCCTGGCTTCCTTGCTCCAGAGACACCCTCCAGACTCCCAGACTGGGGTGAGGGGTGGGGGGTCAGGTGGGGGGGCACTGCTCCTCCATGCCCAGGAGGACGTCAAGGAGGGCAGACCTGAAGGTGGACACCAGCAGCCTCAGGAGAAGCCGTGGGCAGGAAACGTCAGCTACACTTCTCTTCCCTGGGGAAATTCCTCTCCCAGGGACCCCTGCACAGCAAGGCAAGGGGCCACCTCCCCTTAGCAGTGCAGGGCCACCTCGAAGGGCCTGCCAGTCTGGCCCCACCCCCAGCCATGCCCACACCTCTAAGAATCCCTGGTAGGGGGACTCCTCCAGTCATGGCCATGGGCCGCAGGCAGTGCCTGGGGGCAGAGGGTGACCCCCCACACCCACACCCACCCACACACCAGACCTCTTCAATCCTAACCCACTTCCCTCTGGAGGCTTCTATCAGCCAGGTGAGAAGTCCTGGGGTGCTGAGACCCAAGGGGCTGTTGAGCCTGGGAAAGGGACTACATCTCCCAGAAGCCCCCAGGGCAGAGTTCGCAGCTCCAGCTGGCCCGAGGCCGGCCTTGTTCTCTGCGCTGGGGTGGCAGGGTCCCCCTGGTTGCCCAAAGGCCCTCCTCCCGGTGTCCTGGGGCTGCCAACCAGATCGTGGGCCTAAAAGTACCCTTCACTGGCCCTGGGGTCTTCCTCCACCCTCTAACAGCCTGGGGGTGCATGCCGTGGGTAAGAGACAATCAAACTGTGCTCCCCCCCCTTTCCAATTCAAACTGAATCTCCCTCCCAGCACCTCGGCCGGCCTGGCATGGTTTTCACCCACGCCCCCAGTCCACCCCTCACCTCTCGCGGGTCTGGGGTCCTCACGCCAGGCCGGAGCTAGACGCCATGACCAGGTCAGGGTCGCTGGCTGGGTTGGGGTCCTCCAGCTCGCCAGTTGGGGCGGGCAGGCGGTGATTTTTTGGATCCTGGACGCTTTGATCTTAATGCCAGCTGGGCCCTGGAGAGGGTATCCGGGGGTCGCTGGGTGCCTGGGTGGCTGCCTCCCCACCGCCAAGCATGATCGTGGGCGCGGGGCAGCAGCGGGAGAGCGCGCACACCCGGCTGGCCCAGGGCTCGGGGCTGGGGTCTCGGCCCTGAACCTCACGGCAGCGGCTCCGGCTCCGGCTCCTCCTCCCTTCCTTCCTTCCTTCCTTCTTCCTCTCCGTCCTTCCTTCGCCTCCTCCTTTCACTTTCTCCGCGGCCCGCGGGAACGGCGGGCACAGGGCTGGGAGGGAGCTAGCTGTCTGGGCGCTTATTGTTGGTCGGACGTCGAGGGTCGGGGTCGCAGCCCCCGGGCGGCTCGGCGCCAGGGGCCCCAGGCGTGCGGGCGTCCGGCCGGCTGGCTGCGGGCGGCGGCGGTGGTGCAGCGGCCCCGGGTCTGGGGCATGTCCGGCCCCTGGCTCCGCCGTGCGCCGCCGCCTCCCCGAGCTCCCCCGCGCTGCCGGAGCCTCGCTGGTCGCTCCGCTTGGCTCCTCTCCCCAGTCTGAATAAGCATCGGGGCGCTCTGGCTGCCTCCTTCTGCCTTCATACCAGAGCCCGGAGAGGCCCCTGTCAAAATAAGAGCTCCCCCATCTCGCTCGCCTCCTCGCCCAACCCGGCTCCCCCAGCCTCCCAGTGGTCTGACTCGGTAAGGCGCCGGCCGGCTAGCGGGAGGCTGGTTGGCCCCGAGGTGGGGAGAGGGCTTCTACCTTTCTCGGCCCTTTTCGCTTCCTCCTTGCCGAAGGTTGGGGGTGCAGGGCGCACCAACTACATACACCCCAGGCAGGGGAGAGAGTTGACAGATCTCCCCTCCTGCCTGCACTGATTGGGGATACAGGAAGTTAACTGGATCTCACTACACACACACACACAGCACCAAGCACCGGGTCCCCCCTTCTTCTCGAGTACCCCACCCACCCACGTCCATTATGCACTAAGCGTCTCTTTATCATCTGCCCCTCCTACCAGACGGTGAGGTCCTTCAGGAAGGCTCCATCCTCAGCAACACTAAGTGGATGCAAACAACACGTTTGTGGAAGCCAAACCTTTGTCTTCTCCTGTTCTCAAGCAGTTCACACACACACACACACACACACACACACGCTCCTGGAGGAGGGTAGATTCCAGGGGTGGGAGGAGTATTTGGAAAACAACTTACTCAACCTGCACAGTTAGAAAGAGGAAAGCCCAGGAGTAGAATGAGGGTCTCCTCATCCCTGGATTTCAGGGGAAAGACGAGGTTTTCTACTGCCATAGCGTTGCAGTCTCAGAAACCCGCAGGATCAATTTTACCCTGTCCGACAGGGTCCCTGTGCGTCGGAATAACTCGACGGCAGTGAGGTTTGTGTTTGCTTGTTACTTTTAGTGAGGCCCTGGATTAGGAGAAGGATGAGGAGATTTCATCTCAGGTACTCTGGACATGCTGTCAGAAGAGACCAGGCCCTGGAAATGGACACTGTGCTTGGGAAAGTACAAGGGCAGTGTGGAAGAGGAAGGCCCCCAACACAGGGGCTAGGGCTGCGGTGGCGGGCTAGGAATTCATGGTGAGGGTCCCACAGGCGATGTTTCCTTCTGTTGCCCACAGGGTCTCCCCAGTCGAGTGGGGACAAAAGTGAGGGTGCCTCACAACCACCCCTGGCACCCTAGCCAGGGTCAACAGCAGTCCATCAACTCGATTCCCTGCACAAGGAGTCCTGGTGGCCCTGTCAGGTAAGCACTGGGCTGCTAGCCCCATGGTGGGTGGTTCAAAGCCACCAGCCACTCTGCAGGAGAAAGCTGAGACAGCTCCACCATCTCGGAAACACGAGGGAGGGTCAGTGTGAGTTGGCACAGACTCAGGAACAACAGTGTTGAGTAGTCCATGGATAAGGGCTTTCTCTGTACCTCACTGCCCCCACGCACCCAAAATGGGATGCCAACAGTTCCTACCAAGGTGTGAAACAGTTCCTACCAACAAGTGATGAACTTTGCTTCCAAGGCAGGGCCTTATTTGCCCCACCATGCAGGTCTTCTGCCCTCTCCCTGCAGACCCTCCCTGACCTCCTCCTTCTCGTCTGCCTGACCACATAGCATCCATACCACCCAACCAAGGACTTCAGGATGTTTCCCCTTCTTTCTCCTATAGGTGTCTGGTCTCTCGAGAGATCCCCAGGGCTTTGTCTCTAGATACCACAGTAGCGCTTCAGTCACTGCGGGCGTGATGGATGGATGGTGATGCCCAGCAGCTGGGCACTGCACGGGTCCCCTGGTGGCATAGTGGGTATGTGTTGGCTTCTAACTGCAAGGTCAGCAGTTCAAAACCACTAACCACTCCTTGGGAAAAAGACAAGACTTTCAACTCCCATAATGAGTGGCTATGAGTTGAAATCATCGCTCGATCGACCCGTGGCAGCGAGAGTTTGACCTGGGGTGGGGGAAACAAACCCCAAAAGAAGAGAGCACCAGGGCTCTTTATACTTGGCGAGCACATCACAATTTACAGCGCATTTTCCTCTACAGTATTTGTCACATGCTCATGGCTTGAAGAGTGGGTCAAAAAATCAACCAACATCTGTGAAGTGCCTGCCAACCACTCCCTGTGACACGCACCCTGCACGGTCAGGAGTCAAACCATCACAAGCCTCGTTTTATCAAATGAAAACTGAGGCCGAGTGTGGCTGAGGTCTGATGTGGAAGACCCCTACAAGCCTGCCAGACCCCCAGGGAAGCAGGGGCTCATTTCTTCTCCCCTCTCCAGGGTTCTGCAGGGATGATGTGGGTCACAAGGAGGAAGGGCAAACTCAAATGGGATGCTGATTAGAAGGGTCCACTCCACGTATGCAAATCAGTTTCCATCATTGCACAAGCCACTTGTCCAGTGCCCAGCTGCTGGGTAGTACCATCCATCCCTCACGTCTGCAAGGAGCCACTTATTCCTCTAAGTCCAAAGGCTTGCAGCAGGGAGGTGGTGATGCTGCGGAGCAAGGAGTGAGTGCTGTCTGTGTGATAAATTTAAGAGTGCTCGGCCTGTCTGTGGAGCAACCACGTGATACGTTCCCCTGGGTGGTGCTGTGACGCATTCCCCCAGTGTAGGGATTGGGAGTTGGGCTCGAGCAGCCAGGAGTTCTGGGTGGAACCCTGGAAAGAGCGAGTCTGAGAGAGCCGGGGAGGCAGGCGGCCCAGCGCTGGGATCAAGCGGCTCCCTCTACTGACCGACTCGGGGAACCACCGCGTGTCTCCGTGTGGCCGGCCACGTTTGTGCGTGTCAGTGTGTCCTGAGGATGTCACAAGTATGTCATAAGTGTGTCAGTGAGGGTCCGGGTGTCGGCGCTGGTCACTGGAAATATCATCGTGGGCATGGGCAGATGAGGATGCTAGTTTGGGGCGCGGGGAGTGTGCCGGCCCCACGCGGGGCTTTCTGAACACCTGTGTGTATGCACACAACTACATCTTGTAATACAATTTGCTCCTCTGCTGGGCAGGGGAGGAGGGTGAGGCGGCTGGTGTAAGACGGCTACTTTTCTGAGATCACGGCTCCCGTGTCGGGGTGTCCAGTCGCTACTTTATCTGAAGCACAAATCGGGAAAGGTGGGAGGGGGCTAGGCCAGGGACACAGTTTCTGGGAGGGAGGTCGATGCCCTAAAGAAACAAGGGGCCCTAGAAAGGGTTAAATTTGAGCCCCACGGTGATTTCAATCATTGGCTCTGGATACTGTCAATCAACGTGCCCGGGGCGGGGTTTACGGGACAGATTTCAAACTGCCCTGCGCCCCTCACTTGCCCCTCGACCACCGCCCCGCCCCCCATTTCACTTCAGGGCTCCCTGTGCCCGCATCCCCACCTGGAGAGAGACACCGTCCCCCGCGGGCCCCGGAGGAGAAGCGGATCCAGGCGTCCTGGTTCCCCCACTCACTCCAGCTGTCTGGCTTCCTGATAGATGGTGATTATTATATAATAGACTTGCTGGACAGGATGGTGCCAGCGCTCCCGACACTGTGCCCCGCCTGGAAGCCTCCTCCAGGGCCTGGCACCGGCCGCTCAGCGCCCGCTGCTCAGCCCTGCCGGCGCCCCCAGCGCCGCCCCATCGCGGAGCGGGAGCCCCGGAGCTGCCTTCCCTGGCGGCCGGGGCCGTGTCCTGGGATGGGCCGGGCGCCAGACTGGGCGTCCGGCCCACGGCCCGCGGGTCTCCGCGTCTGCCTGCGGAGTGTGGCCGTACTAGCTCCGCTTCCGGATCGTGGGGTCCACCTGGCCCCCTCCAGGCCTGAGCTTAGAACTGGGATCCATCCGAGGTGGGGAGACGGGGCGTAGGGGCCAGGATCTGAAAGGGAAAGGAGTTTGGAAAAGGGAAAGGAGTTTGGGAAAGAGGGGAGGAGGGCGGTGAAACGAGAGGCTAGCCGAAGGGGCAGGCGGTGGCAGGGGTGGGAGGGACTCTTATCCTGACAAGGCTCCCGCCTTCCCCCGACCGGAGGGTTTGGAAAAACTGAGCAGGCAGCCAAGGCTTGGCTAGAAATCCTGCAGCCCACCCTCCAGGGGACACAAAGCTGGAGGGCGGGAGCAGGGCGGTGGAAGGGAGCGCGACCCGGGGAGGGCAGGGCCTCTGTTGGGGTTGGGGGCCCGAGGGCCAGGTCCCTGGAGAGGGGGTTCCTGGCGCTGTCTCCCAGCAGTCTGCTTCCCCCTTCTCCTTCTCCTCCCCCGCCTCCTTCCCCTCCTCCTCCTCCACACCCCCCCTCCCCGGGCTCCAGACTTGCAGAACGCGGGCAGACTTAACTCCTGGCGCGCCAGCCGGGTGGACTCCGAAGTCGTGACGCGGTGAGCACAGGAAGGAGGGAGGGACTCGGGCACCCCCCTCCCACCCACGGCTTAACCCCGTGTGTCCCGGAACGCAATCCGGAACTGGAGCCCATCAGAGGCGCGGGAGGCCATCTGATGCACACCAAACTGGGCACCTGACGACCACATTGTCCAGTTTGCTCCCTGGCAAAATCGGAACTGCTTTCCCTTCTCCCGTCCTCCTCTGCGGCTCCGTCCATTCTTTGGCCGTCCCCGCCCCCCTCTCCCCACCGCCCGGTCCCCGGGTTGTTGCCTGCCCTCCCGACCGCTGAGAAGCTGCAGCTGCGGGGGAGCCCGGAAGTCTGGGTTCTGTGGCTGCCTCTGCCCCTCCTCGGAGGCCCTGCGAAGGTGACCACAACCACGCCGCTCTGACCCGTGGGCGGCTCCTGCACCCACTCGGGTACCTGAGAGGGCAGCTGCTCCCCGGAGGCCGGAGGGGGTTACCTGCCCGGGTCAGGCTAGGACAAGGGCCTGTGGAGGGAACTGGACACCCTGCCTTCGCATCTAAACAGTGCCCCCAGCCCATCAGATGTGCCCTTCGGTCTGCTACCAATGCCTCCCTGCGCGAGGGCGGCCGGAAGGAGCTAATGGGGCGCCCAGGCCGTCCCAGCGAGCCCCGCAGGCAGGGCCCGCGCGGCTCCAGGTGCGAGTCGGTGGGACAGGAGGGCCGCGGGCCGCCGGGCGGCATGGTTCCTGCCCCCTGGTGGCTACATCGGGCTCCGCAGCCGCCCGCCCGAACCGTCCTCGGGCCGGACTGACACTTCTCCTCCTGCGGGAAAGGTAGCCCTCTGGGAAGGGAGGCGGCGGGACGTGGGCCCGCCACCCCTGCCATGCCAGTCACTCCCACTCGGGAGGGAGGAAGGCTGCCCCAGCCACCTGCAGAGCCTCCTCAGAGGACACTAGTTAGAGATCCCAAACGTCCAACGCCAGGGGGGGAACACCTCCCCCCCCAAGACATAGGCCCTTTCCCCTGGGATGCTCAATCTAATCCAGGGATCAGGAGGGGGAGGATGCCCCTCGCTTCCTTTTTTCTCTGTGTCCCAGGCCTTCCCAGAGCCCCCCATGCCCCGCAGGCCCCAGTCCCAAACACACACCTACAACCTAGGAGTCAGACTTCAAAGCTCCTGTCCCCTTCCGCTTCCTTCCTCTCCAGCCAAGCTGCCTTTAGGGTTCTTCCCATTAAACGGCCCTTCTTGAGGAATTTGAGGTGCCCACAGCCACTCCCTCTTTTCCACCAGTATGGCCTAAGCTTTCTTATCTACCCTGAAGCCCTCAAAAGTCAGGTCAGGCAAGCCCACAAACACAAAGGAATGCTTTTTTCCATTTTTAGTGCCTTACTTCCCTCTGTTTCCCATGATTCCCCGTGGAGACTTGCCTTTGCATATGCGGGCCCTCTGTGTGGGACTCTTCTGTCCTTGGAAGCTCTGAGCCCTTCCTGCCCCACCCAGTCCCAGCTCGCATTCCTTCAGTGGCTGTTTGTTGGGGACCTACTGGATGTCAGCAACTAGACCAGAACCCGGGGGTACGTTGGTGAGCAAGACAGATCTGTGAGCGGTGGTTTCAATTCCATATGCTAACTGCTTATGTTGAGCACCCTGAGAGCACGTCTGAGACACCTATTCCGGACTTGAGAGTCTGGGAGCGTTTTCTGCAGGGAGAAACATCGGAGGTGAGATTTCTTCTAGCCTAAAGCATCGTGCTGCCCAGGTAGCTCATTTCCCCTGGGGCTAGAGAGAGAGAGAGAGAGAGACTGGACCCCAACAGGATCTCTACATTGTGAGAGGCTTCTGAGGCTACATTCCCAAATACTTCTCAATTCTCCAAGTTGCTAAGGAAGAAAGACTGCCTGCCGCTTGGCTTAGTCATTCCCAGTTGCGGGCCTCAGGTTCTTCTACAGGGAAGTTGAATGCATTGATCTCCATGATTTTTTTTCCACCTTCAAAAACTCCAAACTCACTTGTTTGAGGCCATGCTGACCCATAGCAACTCTTCAGGACAGGGTAGCACTCCCCCTGTGAGTGTCCGAGACTGTAACTCTTTGCAGGAGTAGAAAGCCTCCTCGTCTTTCTCCCCGTATTTCAGCTTAAGGAGTAAAGGGGACAAAGGAGGCCTGGTGGCATAGTGAACTACTAACTGCAAGGTCAGCGGTTCAAAACTACCAGCTGGTCCTCAGGAGAAAGACAAGGCCCACAAAGAGTTGAAGTCTCAAGCCCACAGGGGCCAGTCCCCTGCCCCACAGGGCTGCCATGAGTTGGAGCCCACAGGATGGCAGTGACTGAGTCCGGGGACAATGGAGTCGATGCCTCTAGGAAAGGACCTCAGTGGCCAGGCCCAGAAGAAGGCCACAGCCACCCCCTACCGCCTACTCCTCACGCCTTACGTTAGCCTGGAAGTCCTGTGTGCCGAGGACATCGCCTTCTTGTTAGTGGTGACAGAGCACAATCCTTTGAGATGGCACCGGGAGAACGGAGCAAGCAGGCAACGACCCGGATTTATTTCCTTGTGCATTAATTTGCTCTGGGCTGATGCATTCACTAGAAAGCTCATATTTTTAAGAGCTGATATGTTCACAGAGAAAGACTGAAGCACAGAGGGATGACAGGACTTGTCTACAGTCACATGACTGGCGAGTGATGGCTGGAAGAGATGCCTGTGGTGGTGGTGTGCACCTGTGTCATCCTTACGATCGTTGCTATGTTTGGTGGCCTCATTCCCAGTCCAGGCTCTTTCCACGACACCGCTGTGACACTTGCTTCCAATTTTCCATTGGATTTCTTCCTGAGTCTGGCTGACTTCCCTGTGAGGCCATAAGATATGGGAAGGCAGGCTTGGCCTCCTTATCTGGACATCCCACGGCCTGGACCGGCTGGGAACTGTGGGAGGCATGCTCGTGGGGCTCTCAGCCCTTATCTCACTCTCAGGACCCTGGAGAATAGCCTGCTGCTCTTTGGCCCAGCCCTGGAATGAGGACGCAGCCCTGGGCTAGCGATCTCCCCAGGCCCAGCCTGACTGAAAACCTGCTGTGTGACTTTAAATGAGCTGAGTCACCCACAACCCTTTGACCTCCTAGACTGCAGGACCTAGAGCAAGGGTCCTTGGAATGCGAGATTAGGAAGTGGTTCTGAAAGGCACGGTCCTATGGCGAGCTGAAACCTAATGTGTTCTGTCTCTCTGCAGGATCACCTCTGCTTTGTCTGCAGGCGCTGGGGTGCTGCTTGATGGGGTGCCCCTGTGCCAGTGCTGCCCCTAGCGTGATGCTGTGCCCTGTGAAAGTGACAGGAGTTTGCAGCCCAAATACCAGAAATGATCTCCAAAAGGAGATCTAACGACAGACTTGTAACCCTTGAAGGTGACCCAGTTTATAAGGCCACTTGTTCCAGCTCCCAGGCCTCCCACTCTGCCCCACCGCCCAGCAGTGGAGTTCCCTCTGCTCTCACCGGCCCATAGCCAACAGAGTTCTTTTGCCTCCTTGCCACTCCCATCCCCTCCTGAGGTGGATGGGCTTAGCCTCTTGAGTCTGTTTGTTTTCCCCCTTTTCTTCCACTCATTGGCCAGAGGACCCCCACCACACACACACACACACACACACACACAGAAAGCCACCCTCCCCCTGCTCTTCCAATACTCTCTCTCCCCCCTCCTCACCTCCCCCTTCTGCATTCCAAAAGCCCAGGAACTCAGCAGGCCAAGATTTCCAGCAACAGGTGAGGGATAAAATTATCTTGGGGCGAGAGAAGCAAGGGCAGAGGAAGACTGCGACAGTCACTGAATAAATAATCACGTTTTTATTCTGTTATAGATCCTACCTGCCCTCCAGGAGCTTTTAAGGAGGGGACAATGAAAGACCAACAAACAAGAGGCTACACAACGAAAGGGCTTGAAGTGGAGGCCATCAGGGACATGTGGCTTCTGAGAAAGATGACTGATCTGGAGTGAAAGGGCACAGAGTCCCAAAGAAGCAAAAATTTTCAGAGAAGGAAACGGGCCGCAGATCCAATGGCCTCACGCCGCTGCCATTGCCATGCACTTGCATGCCACACCTGGACGTTTGGGTGGAGGGGGGAAACCCGTGGCCAACGGCAACTCTGAAGTCCACTGGGAAACTTTAAGGGCTGAGAGTGTAAGCTGACAGTGGTGGGACAAGGTTGGCGAGCGGAGGAGGGCACGATGTGAAATCGCTGGCTACTGCCCATGAGCTGAGCAGGTCAAAGAACCGCGTGGGAGTACGAGGGTAAGGCCCAAAGTGTTGACGGAAAACCATAGAAACCTTTATTAACCCAAATGATCAATATGCGGAGCTCCTGTGTCGTGACAGCCTCCCTCCGTCTGGGTCTGCGCCCTCCTGGGGGCGATGCTGCCCTCACTAGACCCTTCCCCCAGCAGCACGGTGAACACCCTCCTCTGGGGTCTCTGTTCCTTTTCCTTGTTCTTGAGTTTGAGGAACGACCAGAAGTGTGAAGGGGGAAGCCCAGAGCCTCACAGGACAGCCAGGCTGCCTCATAACGAGCAGGCGTTTCCACTCGAAGGGAACACCACCCAAACGCCTCCCTGCCGCTTGCTGGCCTTCTCTCGTTCTCTCGCTGACGTAGTGGGGTTTGTTTTCTTTTCATGGTTAGTAAACCTTCCTAGGAAGCCCTCGGATCATCCCGTTTCTTGCAAGAGAAATCTCGTGATGCAGCCTGCCTTTGAGTCTCAAGAAACAGTGCCATCCCCTTCTGAGCTGATCTTCCCGCCACTGTTCCGACCTCAGCTGACCTTTCCAAACCACGGTTTCAATTGGACTTTTTTTCCCCTGAAGACACCTGAAGGAGACCCGGGCGAGTGTGTGAGTGAGAACTCCCTGCAGCCCCGCACTGCTGGCAGAGACGGGTCTCCCAGCGTCTGTGTGGAACAGAGCTGCACCCGGGTTCCAGGGCTGGAGTGGTGGATCTGAGCGGGCCTTTGTGGCTGACTCTGGTCTGTTTACTTACGAATGTTCTCACCCCTCCCCACCACACCAACCCCTGCCTCGCCGTGTCTGGGCATCTCAACCCCTGCCTCGCCGTGTCTGGGCATCTCAACCGCCAGCCGGCCGGTGACTGGGAGCGTACCACCTCCCAAGGCAAGTCCACTCTCTCTGGGCATCTGTTCGCGCCTCCTTTCAGTTCAGCTTTCTCTGCGGTGGTCTCCATTTATTAGTCCACTAGACGCCTCCTGAGCTCCCACATGGAAGTCTGATTCTCCGTCCCTGTAGCAGCTCTCCATGTATTGCAGTGTGACGGGCTCCTGACTCAACAGTTTTCTCCTCAAAACACATCCCAGTCACCAAGCAGTCACTCCCACGATGACATCTGGCCAGCTCAGAGCAAAGCAGGACCATTGTCTCCTGCTCCATGGGAGACACTCTATCTCTCTTAATGTAGCTTAGACCGGAGTTTGATTTTGGCAGTGAGACCCTGCCAGGGACAGACTCTGAACGGACTCTCTAAACCACAGGGGGGTCCATTGCAGGCTGTCTTTTTTTTTTTTTTTTGACCCTACACTGGTGCCTGCTACAGGGTGGATGATTTCATTGTGTTCTGTTTGCCCACCACCCTACGATGGAGAAGGTTTCTCGATTCTTACCCCGCCTTTCCGAGTGATTCCTATTCCTTCAGGCCTAGTATCTGCAAAAGCGTGACACTGTCTTTGCCATAAAGTTGTTGACAAGCATTCGGTACAGGACCGAGAGGGAGGCGATGCCCTCAAGCACACAAGAGTCGACACCCAAGCCCTGTCACCTGAGGGAGCAGCAAGAGAAAGGGTTCAGTGGTTGGGGGCCAGGGGAAGGTCAGTGCTGGAATTCTCGCCTGTCCAATTGCAGAAGACCAGAGTGAGTTCCCAGAAGAGTCCAGTGCCCCCTGGGCGTCACTGCCCGTGGGTCAGTGGGCGGTTGCATCTTGCCCTGCTGGTGAACACGCTGCCGTGGAGCGTGGAGCTTTCCCGTCCAGACTGATGCCGAAGCAAGGGCCCCCGGGCTGCTTCAGAACATCAGTCCGTGAGAGCCCTTTGGATCCCAACTGTCCAAGCTGGCCAGGCACAGAACCCGGCCCGGCAGCGTTTATTCCATTGTGCATACCACCACTGTGAACAGCGTGCCGGCCCTCACCGGCAGAGGACAGCAACAACGGTCAGGTTAGGCTCAGGCTGTGACTAGCCTCAGACAGGTCATACGAAACATGTCGTGGGAGAGGAAGAACAGGGGAAGAAGCAGAAGATTCTGGAGTTGAAGCGTCATGTAGGGAAGCTTCCGGAAGAGGGAAAGACAAAGTAAAGGCAAACACTAACCTTGGGCCGTGCAGACAGGGATTCCGGCTCTGGCTCCGGAGCCTGGGTCCAGTGAGCCACCTGGAATATCTGTAAACTGGGGTTCCACCAACTCTATAGACTAGAGTGAAGATTAGATGAGATGACAGATGGGAAGTGACAAGTGTCCAACAAAGGAGCCTGTGGCTCGGTGGAAGGAGCCCTGAGCCTGGTGACACAGGTTATGTACTGGACTGCTTGCCAAATGGTCAGCAGTTCAAATCCACCTTCATCTCCAGGGGAGAAAGATGAGGCTTTGCACTCCCATGAAGAGTGACAGTCTCAGAAACCCACTTCGACTCAAGAACTCACTCCACGCCATTGAGCTGGTGCGACTCAGAGTGCCCCCCCGGGACGGGGTAGAACTGTCCCAGTGACTTTCTGAGACCCTAACTTTTTTCCTTTGGTGTTTACAAGCACTTTATTAAGTTCATTACAGCTGGCAGGTTCCCAGCTATATTACACAGACACAAGCGAGGCATTCCGGGTTAGTGCGGGAGCCAGTGGGGGACATGGGCCTTGGAGGAGAAAGCGCGTGGTTCAGTCTGAGCTGCCAGGAGAGCCTGTGCAGAGGACAGCCATGTTCCGACACTGACCGCTGCTGTTTGCTCACAGGTGAGACTAGAACTGTTGATGAGAGCAGAAAGCCCTGTCTTTCTCCTGAGAAGCGGCTGGTGGTTTTGAACTTCGAACCTGGCAGATCAAAGCCCACCGAGTAACCACTACGACACCAGGGCTCCAGATCCCATTGAAACAACCGAAGTGCCCATCTGTTGAAGAATGCCTAAATAAACTCTGGTGGGCACACCCACCTCGTTAAAGAATGCAGAGGAAACATCTCCCGTCTCAGGTGGATTTGGAGAACAGATCCCGAGTGAAGTTACTCAATCACAAAAGGGCCAGTGTTATCAATTAAAAAGTCTGATCAAGGAAAGGTTCTCATACCCAAAGAAACAGACTTTGATAGTTACCGGGGTGGGGGAGGGGAAGGCAAGGAAGCAGAAGGAAAGTGGGGTTGGGGGTGGGGGGGAAACAGGTGCTAGCCTGGGGGAAGGAAGCGGATGGGGAGCAGAGGGAGGGACACTGGGCAGCCGCTGGGAGAAATGAGAAGTCGTTTAAGTTGTTGGATACAGAAATGATGATCCGATACGTAAACCCTTTCTGAATCCACAATGAAAGTGTTTGTTTTAAAAAAGGAGAGAGGCCCCATTTCTGACAGCAGAATCTGCTTCTAGGTGCTGGTGAGAGGCGCCCTGTAGGCTGTAGTGAGGGCCAGGAATGCTTTGCTGGACCTCGGCCCAAGGTCATATAAGGAATGGCAGACAGAAGACAAGGGTGCATTTCTAAAAGGAAACTGATACGCCCTTGGTTCTGGCTACTGAAGTTAGGGAGAGCGATCTAGAGAGGTAGATGGTAGAGAAATAGATCTAGATAGATGGATAACATAATGCCCAGGCTTTTAGACGGGCTAGTGACAGGGACGCCCAAATAGGAAGGAGGTTGGCTCCATGGTCAGGGTCGTTGGACTTCCCAGTGGCGATAAGCGTGAAGCGGATCTGGAACTTTGGGGAGAGAGAAGTCAGTCAAATGTAGGTATTGGGCAGCACCCCATACTAGTGGTAGCTGGAGGTGCCTGGGTAAGGTGAAAAAGAGCACCCTGTGAGGCACCCCCAAAGCCCCTGATCATACTCGGGGCTAGAGCCCCCTTGGTAGCCCTCCCTGCCCGCCGTCAGCTGACCACATCTGTCTCTCACACACGGAGCAAAGACATCTGTTCAGGGTCCACTGGCCCCGAACCCTGTCCCTCCACGATGCTCCACTTCTGTCCTGAGGTCACCGGGAGTACAAGTTCTTGTCCAGCCAGCAGGTCTCTTTGGCTGAGAAGGGAGGACAGGAAGCTGCAGAGGGGCAGAGACCATGGAGAGAAAGAGGCGGCAGGAGAGGAAGCGCCAGCACCCTGCGCACGCACGTGGGCAAGCGGGCTGATGGAGGAGGAGGACACGGGAGATGGAAGGAGGGGCAGAAGGGAAGGTTTGCTGAGAAACTGATGAAGTGCAACTGAGAACACTGTTGCCATGGTGACGGGTCCCGAGGAGGGAGGAGGGCTATAAATCGGATTATGAGGAGGGAGAGGGGAGGGGAGCGTTCAAGGCCCAGAGGCAGTCGCCAGAGCTTCCCCTCCACACCTCCCCTCTGCAGGAGAAAAACAGGTCTCCCAGGCCAGAGCAAGGGTGCAGGGAGCAGAAGGGGTGGGGGGG